TTTCAAAATCATTAATTGAACATTTTATAGTTTGGCAACTAAAGCCCAGAAATCTGGTCAACTGACTTGTCCAGTTAGTAAACAGCTAGACTCCTGACTTCCTTTGTTCACAAAGCTCCTCGAACTACTCGAAGACCTTTTGAATAACGGATAGTCCCTACAATGCGTGACCATAAGTCCACTTGTCTTACGAGTTCTCAGGTGAGGGAGATAAAAGCCTCTAACCATTCTAAGAACTGTCGATGTTTAGTATGAACTGAAGAGAGAACTCCTACTTTGAGTAATTTTTCAACTCTTCCGAGGCATCATCCACCATGTTGCTCTCCTTAGCTTCGTGGGCCATAGCTCGGTAGAGGATGCAAGCAATCACTGCCTTCACCGTGGCCTCCTCTCCGTGCTGCCAGAAGAACATGGCCATCTTCTGCCTTTTCATTAGCACAGCCCAAACCAGCAGGTCATTGTGAGGGTAAACAAAGCCAGTCGACTCGAGATCGTCTGATATATTTTGGCCTTCTTCTGACTTCTTCCTTGATTTATGAAGTACTGTGGACTTTTCCTGTTGGAAAATAAAATAGGATTGAGTTTTCAAATACTCAGATGCATGATGTTTTACCTAATGCAACACAGCACGTATCCTAGCGATACGTTTTCAAATCACTACTAAGAAAGAGATGGAAATAACAACAGGACTTCATAAGCCAGCATGCAAAATTTAGACTTTTTATGGTAATCTATTGCTTGTTTCATTTAACAGATCCACAGTCCCTGAGCTGAGATACCTTAAGTTCATTTAGCACACCTTAAAGTGGCACCCCTTTGGGATAGACCCAGTCACTATATGACAACTTCCAATTTCTCACAGAAATGGGATTTAAAAAAAAAAAAAAAATGACCTTAGCAAATAGATTCAGTGTCTTCCCCTTAGAATAATGTTACCAGTGTTGTCAACATGCGACCAAATAGATTGGTTTTATGTTTCATTTCCTTTATTCTATCTCTCAGTGATAGTAACAGGTGATAATAAAATAATATTCTCCACCTTGTAAACCTACTCTTTATAGCTCATTCCAAAGGCCCTCGGCACCCCCATGTGCTCCTTTGGTTTTGTTTCTTTTTTAACTTTTTTTTTTTTTTAAAGCTAGTCAAGTGAAGCAGTGGGAGCCGAGAAGGAACAAAGGAATCTGTAACTGGCTGTGATGAATTAGTTGTAAACACCACTGCACTCAGACCAGCCAACTCCTGTATCGCTTTGTACGTCTCCATTTCAGTGCCCATCATACTGTACTGCGGTTATTGCTTTGAGGAAGGCGGGACCATGTCTCAGTCATCACTGCATCTTCTCCTGCCCACCCACCTCCCAAGTTGAATCAAGCACTCAGTATAATGCCTGGAAAATAATAAAGACTCAATATTATTCTTTTTAGTTTGAGGTATCATAGCAAAAAATTATAATTGGTTTCCTCTATTTCTGTAATTAAAGGAATTTGTATTTCTTGATGATGCCCAAGGGTGATTTTATAAAATACCCTTTCATCCCAGGAGCTATGGAAAGCAAACCTCTTTCAGCCAACAGAGTAACCACATACATGGCAACTCTTGAGCAAAAGCATTTATCCCCAGAGGAAAGTGGGACTGAGGGGGCGTGGGACAAGGAGGAACCGCATACGTGCACACACACACACATACACACAGCGTCGTCGTCATACTGTGACGTCTGGATAGGATTAATTTCAAGAAAGCCCCGCAGGGGCAAAAAGAAGATGCAAAGGGTCAGTGTGGGAGAGATGTGAAGGAGAAAGCAGCAGCCTTCACATGCAAATCGCCTTAGGGAAAGGGCGATCAGGGTGTGGTGTTGGACTAGTGATCACATTTTTTTTTAGTTCCATCCTGTAGACTGCCTGCCTGAGTCACCGTCTGGACATGGCAGAGGTAGGGCAAGGAAGAGAGGCTGAACTGCAAGCCCAGACAATCATTTAGTTGCCAGTGCAGTGTCCTGGGCCTTTGCTCCTTGTTGTTAGAGGACAGCTGTGTTGTGCTTTTGACCTGCACCGTCTGTTTATGGCACCTGTAAATGGTCCCTTTGTTTGTGCCCTCCTTTCTCCGACATTAAGTGTAGACACAGTCTCAATATGCAAAACCCGCTTCGCTTTCAAGTCCGAAAACAAGTAAGCAGTACCTCGAGCTTGTACGGCTGGGCAGTTCTAATGAACTGGGAATGCAGCGCACTTTCCACGGACTCCTTTCTGTTTCCTGAGTGGCATTTCCGGTGCTGGGAAAGGTTTTGAGCAAAGCTGGTCATTCTCTGGCACATGTTGTTATTTTATTTTTAAAATAAGACAAAAATGGGGAAGAGAAGATTACAGTGGTAATGACATTTTATTTCTAGACAACAGTGAAAACGAAATGTAACGTGTCCTACCAAACATCCAACAGTTCTCTCTGCCCCTCATCCGTGATCAGCACCCAACAAGAACCTCTCATGACCTCCTTATTATGCACACTGTTATTTCCTAACATCGCAGAGAACACACTTTTTGTTCCCTATTATATATCTGCATTCCTTCTCAATGTGGAAATTCCATTAGGAGCAATGGATGTTCTCTACCTGGAACAAGCTCAGAACAGGCAATAAAGATTTACTGTTTTGATAAGAAAAAGTTCCCATTCTCAAACAGCTCCAAGATAAAGGTTAAGTTAGAAAGTTGTATAATTTTTCCAGGTGTTATATGATATATCCACTGGAATTCCAGTAGCTAGGTCCAGTAACAACATGAGTCATTGCTATCAGCCTGAGGTTTTTATCAATGAGAAACAAAAACAAAAACAAGCATTTTTAAAGGAACTAATATAATCTGTGATACAATCCATAGGCTTTGAACTGCTTTATTTATTTCTAGCTTGTACTTTATCTAAAAAGAACTGGACAAGGCCGGGCGCGGTGGCTCACGCCTGTAATCCTAGCTCTCTGGGAGGCCGAGGCGGGCGGATTGTTTGGGCTCAGGAGTTCGAAACCAGCCTGAGCAAGAGCGAGACCCCGTCTCTACTAAAAATAGAAAGAAATTAATTGGACAACTAAAAATATATAGAAAAAAAAAAATTAACCAGGCATGGTGGCGCATGCCTGTAGTCCCAGCTACTCGGGAGGCTGAGGCAAGAGGATCGCGTGAGCCCAGGAGTTTGAGGTTGCTGTGAGCTAGGATGATGCCACGGCACTCAGTCCGGGCAACACAGTGAGACTCTGTCTCAAAAAAAAAAATAAATAAATAAAATAAAAAGAACTGGACAAAGAAAGAATACCAAATTATTATCATCATTGTAATAAAGAATTAATAGTATCATTATAGGAATAATCATGACTATTATTACTAACAGTTTCTCTACACTCTGTATATCTAAGAATATAGATTTTTCATGTATTATTTTATTTAACCCTTCCAATAGCTTTATGAAAGTGATATTAACATTGCCATTTGTAGAAGAAGAAACACACTGAGAGGTTAAGTCTATTGCTCAGACTTACCCAGATACTAATGAGCAAAATTAGGATTCAATCCCAGATCTTTCTTACCCCAAACCATGTGCTCATATCTATTAATACTATGATCTAGTTTATTATGAAACACAATAAACTTTTGACTCCTTTACTGGAAAAAAAATCAGAGAAATGGGTAATTTCATACTGGTGGGCCATTTCTGGAAATGGCACTAGGGAAACTTCCCTAGCAAGCTCCACACTGGGCTGCACCAAGGCCACCATTAGTCCTCATACCTGCCACTGGGACACGATGTATATTTTGTTTAAATGAAGTAGCTGACACCTCCTTAAGTAGATCCCTATGCCTTTAAAATCTTAATAAAGAACACTTTCTGTGTGAGATTTGGGTTTCCTTTTGTTTTGTGCTGTTTTGGTTTTTTAATTGTCAAACGCCAAGTTGGGCTTTCACTTCACCTGATTCTTTATCAATAATGATCCAAAGGAGCTTGATATTCTAGGCTCTTTATGTGATCTTACCCCAAAATGCCTTTCCAGTCTCACCCCTCGCAACCATCTGACACTTGTTCTCTAGTGACAAAATCTCCTTGTCACTGCGCAAGCATACCCCGATGTCCAAGTGCTGTGCCCTCGCTGCTCCTGCTCTTCTCTCAACGAAAATGCCCCAAACTACCCCTTCTAACGCTGCCCTTAATTTTCTAATAAGAATTAGTCCCCTCAGGTTGCTGAGCTGTAAGGGCAACTTGAAGAAACAGGCAATGTTTTCTCTGCAAATCTACCAACCAACATCTCTAATTTTATATTCCTAGACTTTCAACACTATAATGGAAAATAAAATATGTATAATTTGTGTTTTTAAGTACATTCTGCATGTATCTTCCAGCGTATTCCCTACATGTTTATCCCAGGGTTCTCATCTCCAGACTGTGGGCTATGATGAGTTTATAACTCTAATCCTATTAAGCTTTTTTTTTTTTTGAGACAGAGTCTCACTCTGTTGCCCGGGCTAGAGTGCCGTGGCGTCATCCTAGCTCACAGCAACCTCAAACTCCTGGGCTCAAGCAATCCTCCTGCCTCAGCCTCCCGAGTAGCTGGGACTACAGGCATGCGCCACCATGCCCGGCTAATTTTTTCTATATATTTTTAGTTGTCCAATTAACTTCTTTCTAATTTTAGTAGAGACGGGGTCTCGCTCTTGCTCAGGCTGGTTTCGAACTCCTGAGCTCAAACAATCCGCCCGCCTCGGCCTCCCAGAGAGCTAGGATTACAGGCATGAGCCACCGCAGATGGCCCCTATTAAGCTTTTGACATCTGTATTTTCAAATGAAAGAAAGGAAAGGAACGGGTCATCTCTCCCTCTAACATTACTTCTATGTCCATATAGCACATATTATATACTGCTTTGTATTATATTGTGGCTAGTTGTATACATCTGTTTCTTCTAGGGATTTCTAAACTTCTGATCTTCATGTTAAACCCAGCCCAGCATGGCAACACTTTGCATAGTACTTTACATAGAGCAGAAAATAAATGTCCGTAAATAAAAATGCCCATTTAGAAAGTATTTCCATCTGAAATTCCCAAGCCATTTTTCTAAAACTACAATTCCTGATTATTCTTAATTTTACTAGAACAGTTTTCAATTATGCTACCTTTTGTTTTCTGTAAAGGTGGTTGTAGAGGGCTCTGAAACTTTTTCTAGTGTAGCTGCTGCGATACGCTCTACCAATGAGGTATTCTACCACCAATCCAATGTCAATCAGTGTTATTCTGTAGCCTGAGAGAAGGGTATGCTGCAACAAAAACATGTAATGAATTATAACTTTTAGTTCTCTTTTTCTCTCTCTTTTGCCATGCCATTAGAACACAACCACATTCATTGCAAAGAGCCTCACATACTGTTTCATCATCTTTACAAACTGATCAATTAATATGACCAACTATTGATACACTCTGCTTTTCAGAAGGCAAAAGATCTGAGCCTTAATATGTTTTTTATTTTCATAGACATTAAATGTGTGCTTACATCTGTGCACTCTTTCGCTCATGCTCTCTTTCTCTCTCTCCTGCTCCCTATCATGCGTACAAACATACATACACACACATTTGAATAAAATACATTTAAATATAGTTTTTAACTAGAAATAATGTAACTACTACAACAGAAGTAAAATCATGAAATATATACCGAATGTATGTGACCCAAAATTAACATTGGGTCAACTTTTCACCCTCTCTCTGTGTTAAAATGGCCATAACACTCTGCACTGTGTTGACTACATTATATGTAAAACAAGAACACGGAAGGAAGCAGAATAAATAAAATTAGGAACATAGAACGACAGCACCAAATGAGATACCAAAACACGAGGCCGTGCCAAGACAAATGTTACGGATGGTAGGAGGAGGACCAAGTGGCAGATTTTTAAGTACGTGAGTCTTAGTCTAAATGAAAATTATTTTGACCCTTAAACCTCACCTTACTACTGCTTCATAATTGTTCACTTCTGAACTGCCATTCACAGTAAATTTTTAAAGGCATACAGAGTGCTAAACAAGGTCTCTGAAATGGACAGATTGTCAATAATATTCACAAAGCTTGGAATAGGAAATAAGGTTAAATATATGAATGTAAATAATTTAATAATTTACTTTTTTCAGAGAACATCAAAAATAATATTCTTATTGCTGTTATTTAAAAGCATATTTAGCCTATTTCAGTGTTTAAGGAAATAATTTAAGGAAAATCATTTTGATATAGCATATACATCAATGCAAACTGAATTTACATCAGCATGGACACTTCTGCTTACTACTACTTTGACAATTAAATGTTCCTTTCACCCTGGCTCTCCCACCAAGTCAACATAACCAGAGAATCCACATTCTTTCTAACAAGATATTATACTTCAGAAAAATGAGAGAAGAACTTTTAAAATGTGTCTTGGATGGATTTTAACTACAGTGACAAATAAAAAGCACTCCCAAATTTCTGGAGATGTGAATATAAGTTATTGGTAACTAAGAGAGAAGAAATTAAGGCATAAAAGTTGTTAAAGTTGGGAGATTTTGCTAAATAACAGGGCATCAAATGTTTTTATCTTAAGCCTGACCTAACTCAAAGTTTAATGAGAACACCATAAGCAAAACATGAGCGAGGGTATAGAACAGTGGAATCCACCCTGAGTCCCTAGAACAAAAATATTAAGTAATTTAAGGAAAAAATGTAAGAGTGTACTTTTCTGGTGAAATTATTCAGAATCACAGGTAAAGAAGACAGATAATTAACAAGAAAATCCAATTCTATATTTTAAGAAGCAAAATCTGGTGACCACTCTATCACAAAGCTAAGGCAATATACAAAGATATTTTCACACCTTCATAGGCAGGTTACCTGTTTTACATCTTGGACAAGATGATGCAAGAGCATATTAGTAGGGCCTTGTTTCTGTGATAAAAAACAAAAGTAATAATTATTCCCTTTAATTGCCATGTGTTAAGGAGAAAAAATACTTTATTTCAGAATGCATAAGTAGTCCAGAACACTGGAAATTTTGTTTAACATCTTTAGTAATGAGGCTTAAGCCAATCAATTCTAAGGAAGGTGTTTCCCAAGAGAAGATGTAATTAGATGAAATGTTTTTTAAGCCAAGATGTATGTATGTAGACAGCAAGAACTTTATGTGGTAAGAAGCAGAAACAAATTTTAAATAATTTATAACTATCCTTTATCATATATAAATGTTATCATATAATTACAAATCTTATCATACAAGTATATTCCATCAACAGATATTTATTGAAAGTTTACTATGTTCAATCAGGGACTCAATGACAAATCTTATATAAGCACTGTTTTCCTGGAGTGTTTACAATAATAGAAAAAGGGGGTACTTACACTAAAAAATAACCAATAATTGAATGATATGTGAGCTCATAAAGAGTTGCAAATAATTTGCACTCCAGATTGTACTGTGAACTAACTGGAGTAATCAAAAAGACAGGACTTGAATAGATCTTTGGCAAAAAGATAAGATTCAAAGGACAAGGAGAGGTATTTCAAGAAGTGTGTGTGGCTTCAGCAATTGGTGTTTTCACAATGAGTAAGCTAGTCTAGTTTCAATAAAGGCTTTGCATAGGAAACATACAGGAACAGTATTTTAATAGTGGCCTTAGGTTAAGATACATCCAATAACACAATAAAAAACAATTTGTTCTCGTCACATTTTTTGTATTTAACTATGTCTTACTAGCATAAAATGGAATTGGTAAGAATGTTTTCTCCTTTGGTTGAAAACTCTATCTCTCTCTAAACTATCTTTGTGTATGAACATTCAAAGAGAAAGGTAAATCTTAAGCTAATTAGTAAATACAACTTAAGGGAAATGACTGACAAAATCTTCCGTACTCACTGTATTATAGAGCTCTTCCAGTCGAGGTATGGTAAGAAAGCGATGGAGATTCACTCCATATTCTATTAAGAGTTTCACAAAATCCACCCGATCCATCACTAAAGCATCTAACATGGCTTGTTCCAGTGCACCAGGCTTCAAAAGGTATAAATAAATAAGAGAGATAAAGAGAAGTAAAGAAGTGGAAATAAGTAAAGAATTATACATGTTTAAACTTAAAACTACATTATAGTAGTATCACACTATAATAATTATAAAATACAGCCTTACTAAGAAACGTGCAGGACCTCTGAATAAATGTGAAGACATCTTGAATAAATCAAGAGACATGCCATGTTCTTGGATGGGAAAACTGACTATTGTAAAAATCTCAAAGATTCCCAAATTTGTGTACAGGCTTAATGTAATTCTAATAAAAACTCAAGGTGGTTGTTGTTGTTGCTCTTCTTCTTTTTCTTCATCTTTTGTTCTCATGTTTCCATCTAAACTATACCTGGCTTCTGGATATAAATGGCAAGTGTAACACATTCATCTAATTTTGCTTCTTCCCAAAACTTCATTAAAACTACAGTAAGGGGATTTTTTGAAGAAAGAAATCCCCAAGGACAAGGAGGACAACAGTGGGGACAAGAGTGCAACATTTCAGAAGCTGTAAAGCAGATGGTCAAGTGGTGATTGACTTAGAAGTCCCCAGACAGCCCAATAGGTGAAGTGGGAAATGTCAAGAACTAAACTGGGCCTAGCACACTGGCTCATGCCTGTAATCCTAGCATTCTGGGAGCCCAAGGTGGGAGGATTGCTTGAGGCCAGGACTTGGAGACAAGCCTGAGCAACATAGTGAGACCCCTGCCTCTACAAAAAATAGAAAAATTAGCTGGGCATGGTGGCACATGCCTATACCCCCAGCTACTCAGGAGGCTGAGGCAGGACGATTGCTCGAGCCCAGATATTTGAGGTTGCTGTGAGCTATGATGACACCACTGCACTCTAGCCTGGGCAGTAGACTGAGTCCCTATCTCAAAAAAAAAAAAAAAAAGAGTCTCTCTCTGAGAAAGAAAGAACCAAACTGATCTATGCCACAGAATTCCAGCAGCACCAAAATAAAATAAATGTATACAGGCTGAATCCCTAACATTGGTGCCTTCCCAGTCATCTCCCCTGTTTGACTCCCATAACACCAGCAACAAGGCTTGTACTTCCCCACCAGTGATCAGAGGATTCTTTTCTGGTAATGTCATCAACGCAAGGGAAAAGACATGAATATGCTGACATCTGGGGGTCCCCCAACTAATGGAGGTAGGATCACCTTACTGTGAAGATGACAGCTACAGGCAGACTCCAGCTACAGGCTCAGAATTTCTAATGAGCTTTTTAGCCCCCACCCTTAAACAAGAAGACCAAAACAAACAGATCAAAAAACATCAACCAGAATAGGACAATGCAGGAAAAAGAAAACTTCAAAAGAGCTTTCACTAATATCCTCAAAGAAATAAAAGAAGATACTGTATTCTGGATGCTAATGAAAAAAGGGGAGGATACAATCAGAGAACAAATTTGCTTGTAGAAATGAATAGATTAACTGTATGCTACCAGAAAAGCAAAGCTTCACAGAAGGCTTGAAAATTAAAGTTGAAGAAATCTAGCCAGAAAAGATGTGGAGCATGATAAGTAGATAAAGAAAGATAAGAAAATAAGATAAGAAAAGACAAGATTAGAGGAGCAATCCATATGTCCTACATCCAAATAGGAATTAGAGAAAGAGAAAGTTACAGAGAAAAGTTGAGGGAGTTATGAAACAGAATGGAATGAAACAAAAACATGTGATTGCCCAGTTGAAATCATGTGCCCAGCACAATGCATATACAGACTCACAACACCACGCATCATTGTAAAATCTCAGAACACTGCAAAAAGAAGATTTTTTTAAAAAAAGAAAAAGGTCACAAAGGATCAGAAAAGAAAAAAAATTATTTCTCAGCAGCAATGCTGGGTGCTGGAAGCTAGGCATTCAAAATTCTGCAGAAAAATTAGTTTCAATTATGAATTTAAGTATAGCCAAACATGTAAGTCCTCAAAATATTTATCTCCCATACTCCCTATTTTAGGAAGTTACTGAAGGATGTGCACCATCAAAATAAAGGAGTAAACCAAGGAAGAGGAAGACATGGACACAGAAAACAGGCACTCTAACACAGCAAAAAGACAAAGAGAATCCCCAAGATAAAGGAGGTAATTCCAGGATGGCAGCTGAGCACCAGGAATAGAAGACAACCAGCCCGCCTTGTAGCTGTAACGCCAACGGGACATAAATGCTTTGAAATTTCTATTAATAAAACTGATGAATCAGAAAACTGCAATATGACATTATAAAGAAATAAGGAGATTTATAAATGTTAGCATAGTCAAAAAATGTCAAAAATACTAGCTCTTGTCATAACTATCATCTTTTTTTAGTAGCCTTTTAATATCATTTGATGTTTTTTAACCAATGTGCGTGTATTCATTTGACCAAAAACAATACACCTGTGGTAAAGTCACAACTGTAATCTGTAAAAATGAAATGTTAATAGTGATGATCATTAGCATTGTGAGTAATCTTTCTTCTTTTTTGTTTTCACTAATTTCACCTGTGCATACACATTACATTTTAAAAAAATAAATAAATAAATGAGATAAACTTTCAGTTTTAAATAACAATATAAAAATCTACCCATTCGAAAATAAATTAAAAGTCCATCCATTCTGTCTTCCCCCAAATTTCCTTTTTCAGCTTCAATCAGACTGCAGAGCCAGAGAAAAAATGTTTTCAGGGAGATAAAGTAAATAAGAAAAATGTCTTAGCTACCCCTGGGAGCCAGCTACCCCTACATCTCTCCCAAGCCAACCTATCTCTCCTCTAATTTTCTCTTTTGCCCCTCCCTAACAAATCAACACACCAAATATTTTTTCCAAATAACTTCATTTTCACTGTACCTTCCAGTGTTGTCCATAAATTAGGATATGTTTCTTGGCAATGTCCATTCTGTCCCAAGCCATTGCCAGATGTAATTGTTCTGATGCTGATAGATTTGTGCCTGGAGTAGAGAAACAATCATACGTTCTTTCAAAATATCTACACAAAAAGCACAGAGTGCTGCGGAATGTAAGAAGAGGAAGTGGGGAACAATGGCAGCCCCATTCAGATACTCACCCTTCAGCAAAACGGTCAGGATTGCTAAGTCAAGGTCTTGCTGCTCTTCAGAATCCGCATCAAATATGGTGATCTACACCCGTTGAAAAAACAGAAAGCCATACATTTGGGGAACTACCAAAGAAATGCTTTCAAAGAGTACCCAAAGAATTCACACTTGAGCTAATGAATTAAGGGAAACATTCTTCATTTTGTAATGTCAAAACAACATAGACTTTAAAATGTTTTACTTACAGAGGTGAAAAAATTTTATGTAGGGTAACAAGGAATTGTGGGCACTTGAGGGAAAATAACTAAAAATTCCACATATACTAGAGGAGATACTTATGAAAAAAATGTTTACAAAAATTTACTATATACATGCTACAATAGAAGAATCTCAATGATAATTTCTAATACAAATAAAATCATTCCTGCTTGTGAAGGGATACCAAACAAGATCCTTCTGTTTACCTAGCCTTAGAAACCAAGACTTTTGTTTTTTGATAAGAAATGAATCCTCAAGGGTTTGTCATAAAATTAGTGAGGCAATTAAAATGGACCCAATAAGCAAGTACAAGGGACAACACCATGGTCTTCACAATGTCAAGTCAAATAAAGACTTTACTTATAGTTATAAAGGGTCACCTGCTATTAATGAATGTATCTCAGGCTTTCCAAGTTAAACTACATTTCATATAATAGAAAGATCTGGTTTAACAGAAAAGAAACAAGACTGGCAAGTCCTATTCCCCGTACACCACTGACCAGTCAACCTTGGGTAAATATCTTAAGGCCACTGAATCGCAGTTTCCTCACCCACAAAGTGAGAAGGACCTGTTGGATTATCACTAAGGACCCATAAAGATATAAAAACTATACTTCTACAACAATCAAACATTGGCTTCTCTCACCTGACACGCCCTCCATGTGCATGAATAAAATCAACCCTCCATCGTACAGGAGCCAGGAACCGAGTTCCTGTGATGTGCAAACCCTCAGCTGCCTTCTCTTGCCCCCTTAATCATTACACTGCTCATTAATTACTCTACTTGCTGACAGGAAGAGGCAAACACAAGGGCAATCTCTTTAATATGTCCTTTGCGTAACTCACTGAGTATTTTGGGAAATACAAAGTGTAGTAGACTAAGAACTAGATTTTAACGCTGAGCTCCAGTTTCAGTTCTGCCACGTGCTCACTGCATAACTGTGCACATCACAAACTCTCTAGCCTTGCGGCTTCAACATCTCTAAAATGGAATAAACAACCACTGCCATATTGAACTCACTCACAGGGCTATTTCGGGAGAAAGCACACTGTTCATTGTAAACATGGTTGTTATTATTGTTGTTATTAGGTCAAATAAAATCCCAAAGGGTTATTCACATACATTTTGTCATGCTTTCTATAGCATGAACTTTTTCAATGTTTTTTTGAGGCTAGGTACTTAAATATTAACCAAAATTCTTGCTTGATTTGGTCTAGCTTTCAAATTTTGGAAAGATCACTTTGAATCATGACATCTCCGACGGGCGCGGTGGCTCACGCCTGTAATCCTAGCACTCTGGGAGGCCGAGGCGGGTGGATCACTCAAGGTCAGGAGTTTAAGTCCAGCCTGAGCAAGAGC